AATCCCAACTCAGTTTCAGACGCCTCACCATCACAATTCCCGATGTCAGTACTGGATGTTGTAAATACTGAGGAGAAGTAAGAATTCAGAAGCTCGGCTTTTTCTGCAGAAGACTTTGCTGTAATACCGTTGAAGACAATGTCAGAAGTCTGTTTTGATCTGCTATGCAAAATTGCTTTGTGGTAAGTCCAGAAAAGTTTTGGATTAGTTGCAAATGATGTTTCGATTTTCCTTAGATATTCCCTATGCTTCTTTTTAACTAGCGACTTGACGGCGTCACTTAAGCCTCTTAGCTTTTGTTTTCTCGTTTCACACTTGTTTTGGCGGTATCTTTTTAATGCTGAGTATTTCTTTCGAATGAGATGACGAACTTCTTTATCTACCCAAGGAAGAGAGTTGGTATCCTTTATTGTTTTAGTTGGGATGTGGTTATTTACTGCGTCAAGGAACGACTTTTTCCAGCAAGACCAAAGTAACATAGAATAATAATTAAAGAGGTAGTATTTAAATGTTTTGACACTAGAAAATGTATTTTGGCCAAATGTATTACCATAACGAAGGCTGTTATTTTGCCCAAATGAATTCAAATATGCATAAATCAACTCCTTAATCCCTTCACCACTTTTTCGGACGAAAAGCAACAAAAAATTCGTCAAAATAAGCAAATTTTCAGGCCAAATAAAGCAAATATATCGTATTCACTCATATTGGCCGCGCTCGTGCACTAGTGATGGGCGATACCGAGTACTCGGTATTCGATACCAGCGATACCACAAACAGCGGTATCGGTATCGATTACTGACGTGGTATCGTTCGATACTTGCACCCTTTTTTAATTAAATGACTTGTTTAATTTCACTTCTTGGTTGAATAAGACTTTATTACAAAAATAAGTGTGAATTTGGAAAAAATGAGGTTAATTGACAAAAATTTTAGAAAATTATGGAAATTTTTGGATTTTAGAAAAAAAAAATTTGATAAATGGGGAAAATTGTTGATGTCCGGAAAATTTTTGGTATGTCCGAAAAAAATTTTTAACCCCTAAAATGGTACACTGACCGAAATTTTTTTGGCGACGGGGGGGGAGGTCGCATACTGTAACGTAATGCTTTTACGCCGCTGACCGGCAGGTATCGAAAGTAGCGATACTAGCAATTTAAGTACTCACTTCCGGTATCGAAAATTGAAATTTTGTGTTCATTTTGGTATCGAAATAGGTATCGGTATCGGCCGATACCGATCTTAAAAGTATCGGTATCGGTATCGAATTAAAAATCCTGGTATCGCCCATCACTACTTGATACTTGATATACGATATCCCACAACTCATTGCGCGCGTGGCCCTTGTCTTCTAAAATACATACA